GGCATGAAGTAGTTGTAAGTGACTGAGTGTGTTAGAGTCATGCTACATTTTAGAGCCTGGGCCACACTCTCGTGTAGCCGAACCACTGCTGAATAACATTTGACATATTCTATCTGCTGACAAACATTAAAACAGAATCCTTATATTTAACAAAACAGGCCTTTCAAAATAACCCAAAGAGACTTTTTCTGATCTGCTGCCTCTATGTTTATGGTTTGGTTAAGTTTACACTAGGGGTTGACAACATTCATTCATGATCCCTTACGGGTTGACAACATGTCACTCCTTATTTATAAGTAGCTTGGCTAATCGAATTCAGAGAATACCGGGTATCAGGGACGCATTAAAAAAAGGTATTGTGTTCACCCTAACTGCTTGGATGTATGTTCAAAGGATAACGCACTAAAATGCTGTTCATTGACAGTAGTTTGACGTTCTGTGTTGCTACTCTTATTTTGCAACAAAAAATAAAATGAACGATAGCCCGGTGAGTGGCTGTTAAATCTATATTCCACACTCATCATTCTTAAATAGATCATTTTACAAGATCAAGTAAGGAACAAGTTAAATACTTAACTACACCCTGATACTGTATGTAAGGGCTGCAACCAATATCAAATACAGTTATATTCTTATCTACATAACCATAGGCATGTAGAGACTGTAACCGCTGTCTGTTTATCTTTTCAGATGCGGTTAACCACAACTTCCTTATCTCCAGCTGCAGATGCAGGAGGGTGGGGGTACCCCCGGGGGCCACGTGGGACCAGGAATGGGAAGAATGAATCTGATTGGCTGGGAGGCGGGACTAAGGGGCGAGGCCACCTGTCAAATTAGTTACAGGAAGTGCTTGGTTGAGGTTATTGCTGCCAAAGGCGGTTCAACCAGTTATTAAAACACTGTTGCCATTACTTTTTCCACCCTCACTTTGTGTGTTTATTTGTGACTTTGGTGAAGATCAGATCACATTTCATGACCAATTTGTGCAGATAATTAGGAAACTGAACAGTTCCATTAATTTTTCTTGCAAATGGTACATGCTAAATTTTAAGTGAATCTACAGTTTTCTTAAACTCACTTTCAGGCCATATTCGAGTTGACTCAGGGTGAGCAAGACTTGGTGGAGGATCTGAAGTTGGCTAAGAAGGTAAGCAAAAATCATTTTTCTAGAAGGGCTCACTTTCCAACTAGATTTACATTGCTATGCCAGGATTTTCTGAGGATGGTCAATACTGTGTATATGTTTGTGTGTGTGTGTGTGTGTGTGTGTGTGTGTGTGTATGTACTTCAGGCCTACCATGACCCGATGCTGAAGCTTTCAATCATGACTGAGCAGGAACTGAATCAGATCTTTGGTACTCTGGACTCTCTGATCCCCCTACATGAAGGTAAGACAGAACATCTTATGACAGCGATCCATCATACATGCAGCCTCCTTGGCTGAGTGCTGAATCCAGGGCTGATGCTTGTTATCAGTAGCTCATGCATTATATTAACATTGGTATCAGATAATATCAAACAGTACCCAGCCTTCTTGGTAACATGGGTTGAATTTCACTTCAGGCTCAGGCAGTGCAGCTGTTGTAGTGGTCTCAGTAATTTTGGATGCCACTGAAAAACCAGTATTTCCACTGTGTCCTGACCTCTACATTTTTTTTTTATAATTTCAAAATGTTCTCTTTTCTCAGACCTGCTGAGTCGCCTCCAAGATGCCAGAAAACCTGATGGGTCCACAGAACATGTGGGACACATCCTGACTGACTGGGTGAGTGAATGTTTTTCACAACAAAACACACTGACCGTCTCTTTACAGTCTGGACAATTCAGATGTTATTTATTCTCAGCTTCATACTCAGTGTTCACATGTTTCCTTGTTTCCTACCTCTGCATTAACCAGGTGTCTGTCTTTGTGTCCCTGGCAGCTGCCCTGTCTCTCTTCTTACACTCCATACTGCAGTAACCAGGTGAAGGCCAAAGCCTTGTTGGACCAGAAGAAGCAAGATCGGCGGGTTCAGGATTTCTTGCAGCGCTGTCTCCAGTCACCCTTCAGCCGGAAGTTGGACCTGTGGAACTTCCTAGACATACCCCGCAGCCGGCTGGTGAAATATCCACTGCTGCTCAGAGAGATCCTGAAGCATACCCCCAATGACCACCCTGATTGGCAGCATTTGGATGAGGCGGTGAGCAAATCTGCTGTTAAGATACTGTTCACCTTTCTCCTACAAGTCTGGTTCAACCCACTGTGAGACTGAGGTAGTAAATAAAATGTTCTGAATTCCTTAATCAAGAAGATGCAAAGTGTGCTAACATGAAAACACAGAGAAAACCTTAAAAGTTGGGAGCAATCCTCAAAATGTCAGGAATAACCTTAGGTGACCGATTTAGAGCACTTCAAAGCTCAGTTGGATGGGCATGAAACCCTCCTGGCTGAATCATCAGAACAAAAAACAATAGTAAAATGTTCACAGTAAAACTGAAGGAGAGAGTTGAACTGACTCCAAAGGCCCATTACATTGTTTAGAAATGTAGAATCTGGTTCAGTATTGGATGAATTCAGCAAATAAGACTCATGATGAGATTCATGAGTAACTTAGCCTGTTAGCATGTCAGAGTGTTAAATTATATGTAGAGGTATCTTAAAAAGAACATTTTAAAATGGAAATCCAGTTGAAAAATGCTTCCTGAAAGTAGTTAATGGTGTCTCTTAAATGACGTGTGAACGTGTTCTGTTAGGGGACAAGCTAGCTAGGTTCCAGCTGGCAGTTAGCCAGCCACCTAGCTTGGAGAACTATTTTGACTTCTTAGCATTAGCGTGATCCATGCTATCTCAACAACTACAATAATATACTGTATGTTTATGTACTAACTAAACTAGCACCTGCAAACAATCATCTAGCACCACCTATTTCATAAGGACGCACTATGATCTGTCCTTTGCAGTTTTCTGGTGTGACCATATCTTGAAAAGCCGGCATTAACCTTAGAAAGTAATAAAACTAATTTTTTACATAGTCAGAAAAATCTAAAAAAAATTTCACCTTGATATTAGGACAATTTTTATGTTTTGTATATTAAAAACTAAATCAGCAAATATAAGTTGTATATCTTTTTAATACGAGGTACTTGGTGTCCTATGCACCAGCCTTTTTATCATTTGCTAACTCAGTGGACCACATTCATTAGATGACATTAACTGATGATAAACCAGGTCAGATGAGATGACGTTTGGCTGGATGGGGTTAAACTTTCTTTTGTTTGCTCCACAGATGCTGATGGTTCAGAGTGTGGTGGCGGACATCAACAGGCAGACAGGAGAGTCGGAGTGTCAGTACTACAAAGACCGTCTATTGTACACGGAGGACGGACAGAGGAATGAGCTTATTGACCAGTCCAGGACTCTCAGCTGCCATGGAGAACTAAAGAACAACAGAGGACTCGTCAGTAGATTTCTACACTTTTTTACCCACCACAACCCCAAACCTTTTCATCCAGACACTTTCCACTCTCTTTTCTGTCCCTGACACATTGTTTTAGATTAACTCATGTTAACGATTAATCGTCTATTATGGCTTCAATCCTGTGGAAGCTGCTTTGATAACAACAGCGTTTATAACTTGGTTTGTTTGTAACTTGACAGTAACTTGGTATATTTTAAGGTACTTGTACTTTACTTCAGTATTTACATATATGCTACTTCATACTTTCATTCCCCTATATTTCAGAGGGAAATATTTTTACTTTTTAACACTTTTAACTACATTCGTTTGGCAGCTGTAGTTATTACCATCATTATATTATCCAGTATAATAAACAAATAAATGGTGAAGTATTATTATAAAATAAAATACCCAGCAGTAAAAAACAATAATTAGAATCCACCTTTACCAGCTGGAACATTAAAATGATGTACACATTATTTCATCAATACTTAAAATCCTATAATATATGTTATTCTGAAAGAGGCCATTCATCCATGCATCCATCCATTATCTATACTGCTTATTTCTGAATATGGTTGCAGGGGCCTGGAAACAATCCCAGCTGACATTGGGTGAGAGGCGAGGTCCACCCAGGACAGGTCGCCAATCTATCACAGGGCTGACATATAGACAAACAACCACAGTGTCAGGTCCGCTCGGCGCGACCTGCCTCTCTTTCTTTTTTTCCTCTCCTGCTCTCCCTTTTTGTGGGATCAACGCCTCAGCTGTGTCGCATTGGGTAATTAGTGACTCATGCGTCGGTGCGCACACCTGAGGCGTATTCCAGTGATTTGTTGGCTTCCTTATTTATACCTCTGGCAGACACCCTGTCGTTGCCAGAGCATTGCGACATGTAACGGACAATACTTATCCTGTGTAAGTTACAAGTTTATGTTTGGCCCACATTTTTAGACGTGTGTAAGATGCTACGCTGACAGTATCTGTGCGTTTTGGCTTGACCTTATCACGCTAATTATGCGGTTAGCAATACTTAAATACGTGCTTTGTCTTCCACGCTGACAGTCCCTGTGCTGTGGATTGCATTGTTTACGTTGGTTCTTTTTGTTCACCTGTCCGTTCTCATCCTCCTGCTCTCCTGATTCCTGCCATTAGTGTGTATGTGTACCTGTTCATCCTGGTCTCCTTAGTCATCACTGCCCTTCCCTGGTTGTATGTATTATGGACCCTGTTCTGTTGTCATGTTGTTTTTATTCCATTAAACCACCTTTTTTGTACTAGCACCTGGGTCAGCCATCTTGAGTCCAACCCCAGTTCTCCCTCACCCTCCTGGTGAGGGGGACTAAACCGTAACACACAGAGGCCATTCTAAAGTATTTAAATTAATTTAGCACTAAATGTAACTTTTGATTGAGTAAATTTGTGACTAGACTGACTGTTATACAGGATCCATATAGTTGACCTGCCATTTGTAGAAGTGAATATAATAAGAAATGAATGAATGAAAAATTAACTTCTGCTCTCCTTCTCTTGCTCTCTTTCCAGAAGCTCCATGTCTTTCTGTTCCAGGATGTCCTGGTCATCACCAGGTCCCTCTCACTAAGCGACCAGCCAGTCAGATACCAGCTATGCCGCCAGCCGATCCCTATCCGGCAGCTGGACCTGGAGGACCTATCAGACGGAGAGATGAGGGTGGGCGGGTCCATTAGAGGGGCCTTCAGCAACAACGAGCGGAGTTAGTAGTTTTACTTAAATATTTTTTATTTCATGCATGGATATAGATATCAAATATTCAGGAATATTCAGGCTAAACCTTTGATAGAATTCAACCTCAGAAGTTGAAATTACAAAATACAAATTTAAAACCCACTGGCATAGATGTCTGATCATAATAAACAGTATGTCTCCTGCTATGTCTCTCCTCCTTACAGCAAAAAACTTTTTCCGGGTTTCATACCATACTGGAGGCCAGCTGCAGAGCCACTGCTTCCAGGCCAGCGATGCCTTCAACAAACAGCAATGGATCAACTGCATCAGACAAGCCAAGGAGGCTGCAACGCTGGCTGGAGACCAGCCAGCACAGACAGAACATTGTCTGGACACAGGACTCGGTGGACAGATAGGGCCGCTTGGTGAGACAACACCGAGCTTGCGAAGTGATTCAGGGATTGAAGATGAAAAAGGGATGTGGGGGGAGATGGAGACAGGCAGAAACGAAGTTCTGAGCGAAGGGAAAGACCTAAGTTTTGGTAAAGAGACAAGGGTGGGTTTGACTCTGGAGATAATGATGGGTAGGGAGATGGAGACAGTTTTGGCTGTGAATCATAAGACAGGTTTGGAGCTAGATGATGAAACAAAGACGGACAGTGAGATGAGGGTGACTGTCAGTGAGGCAGAGACAGGTGAGTTGGAGACAGGGCAGGGTGTCGGTGGTGAAATGGCGGCAGAGCCAGGAGTTGGAGCAGACTGGAGGATGGACAGAGGAGGAGGAGGAGAATCTCTTAGCAGAGGTGCTAATGAGGTTAGCACCTCTCTCCTCTCTTCTGCTCCTCCCACTCAAGAGGAAGAAGAGGAGGTGATGGAGCAGGAGCGGAGTGGTGCTAAGGAGGACAAAGAAGTTGGCATGGACATCGGAGAGGTCGGTCCATTGCAGGGTGAGGAGCTGGCCCTCAGGTGCTAATAGTAGAATGACAAACATGATGGACTGCATCTGCAGCCAGTCCAGCCAGAAACTTGATCATTGTGTCACTGATGTTAATCGGTGTGTTCTAGAACAGTTTAACTGCTGTATCCTGACCACTGGTAACCCTGGTGACTGCTTTGTTCTAGAATGCCATGACAACAGTCATATTCACATTCTGGAATCCTGTGGCCCTGTGTGACTATACCAGCTGCAAGGCAGGGACACACTTGAGGACTAGCTCAAACCTTCTCAGAGTGGACAGGCCACACTTGAAGACTGTTTGCACCAACTTTAGTTCTTGACAGTTGGAAATGAGCACATACCTTATGACTGAGTAAACACTGTGGACAACAGATCACACCAATTCTTGCCTGTCCTTGTACCAAAACAAATATGGACATAACTAAGTATATTGTTTACAGTTCAATTTGTGCTGAAAATGAAATAAAAGAACAAAAGGGACAAAGTCTGGGTGAGATCCTGGATGGAGAGGTGCGGACAACATGGACTGTACAGGCTACAGAGGGAGCAGGACTTTATGTCTTTGATTTAAAGTTGTGGAGGTTTTTGTTCATTCTCTTGCCACAGTTCAATAGGTTTGTCCCACACTTCACTTGTCCAGTGCTCTTTAACACTACAGTCCTTTTACTCACCGTTCTTGAATGTTTATTTGCCGTACATCTCCTTCATCATGTCATCAATATGGATCTTAAGATTTGAGGCTAGAATCTTTACATGTCACACACAGTTGTATCTACCAGCCATCTACACTGACCTACTTAGTCCAACTGGGTCCATCATGTCATCAGTTTTCACACCCAAATCCAATTTGTAATCAGCACAACAGTTACTTGTGCCCCCACCTTAAAACAACTTGAGTACCCTGTTCCAAGATGTTTTTCTTTCTCCCTCAGACTTTCCTTCCTGGCTTCCTTCTGACTCCATACATACACAAATGGCACAAAAAATATATTTACTTTTACAGCTCGCTAAGGCTTTAATTGGACCTAATGACTAAAATTGTACAACAAAGACTGGTGTCGGACCATTTGTAAAAACTGTATTTATCATTTTGGAGTTCCTTTTGTAATGATTGTACTGTATATGGTGGGGAAGTGTTGTTGGGTCAGTGGCTTCTGTCTTTTGTAAATCGTTTTTGAGGAAAGAAATGCATTTAATACATTTTTTATGCTTCAAAAGACTGTATTTTGCTGAGGAACACAAACGTAAACATGAAAAGAAAACTCCACAGGGCAATCAGCGAGAGTAAAACACACATCCTTTATGAACATCTGCCATCTGCTTGTTGAGGAAAGTATAGACTTCCAGAAAACCTTTGGCATACACTATTTTATGGAGAATATGTGCACCAATCAATGGAAGACAATAAAGGTGTATAAGTTACATAGCTTCTTGCATTTAAAACACTATTAGTGAATGATAATGAATCATGCTTTCAGCTGCAGCTACCACTCAATGCTACTGTGCACTGAAAATGATGAAACTAAACATCGCAGATGTCAAGGATTCCACTTCCATTGTTTGTCGATCTGGATTTTATTCTCATGTATTTGTCCATTGTGACCAAATCTGTTGTAGACTTTTGATTTGGGAGGGTTTCACTTCTCCACATCATTTGAATTCATCCTTGTCTCTGAACGTTTTCTGTTTCTAAAACTCTTTAATGTCTTAAAATCTGTTGTACTGTCTGAAAACACTGGAGAAAACAGAATTGTGCACCCAGTCTTCGCAGATTATTTGAAACTTACTCATTATTAGTCAATCAGTCTAAAGTCACAACTGTATGGATGTGAATTTACATGTACATTTACAAAGACTGTCAGACTGTGAGTCCCATCAAAAACAAGTCACAAAACTCTTCTCTGAAACATCAGACTTTGTATGTTATTGAAATGTATCTATGGTTTGTTTGGTTTGTAATAATAACTAGACATTGCTTTGTAAAGTGTCCTGAGATGACCTTTATTGTGATTTGGTGTTATACAAATATAACTGAATTGAATTGAATGGAATGACAAATTGATTGCAAGCTGGAAACAACCTCAGGAGATCAGCCTGAGTAGTGATTAAAGTTTGATGCTTTGGAGAAGAGTTGTGCGACTTCTTTTTGATGTTCATTTACTGAATTTAAAGTCAACACTAATCTGCACCTCATTGTGTGTGCGTTCTCAAAAGGAGACAAAAGACTGCAAGTCCCAACCAAACACATCCGCCTATCAGTAACATTCAGGTGCTACTACTTTCCGTTAGCAAATTCATTTTTTAAGAACAATAACTATGATTCAGTTTGCAGTATTGAAACACAGCATAAAGTCCTTTCTCTCATTTGTAACTGCCTGTGACTATTATGCTTCTGTAAAAGAGTTTTAATTTCCTGTTGCCTCAAACCTGCAATAAGTTTATGCTTATGCATATGCAATACTTTAATGCCATTGATATTAGCATTAAATAAAATAATCAATGTCAAAGAGTGCAATTGCTTAGAGTTTTAAACCTTTTTATTCTTTTAAATGTTTGGGGTCATAGTTTACTGTACCTTATGCACCACATTTACTGCATTGTTCAATCTCAGTGTTTCCAGCTGCAGCAAACAAGCTCTCATACATCCGCTGTACACTACCTGACCAACATATGTTGGAGGTGAATATTGTGCAAACATTCTATTTGAATGTGCTTGAAGAAAATTGTTTATCGGCAAAGTTTTTCCTTCAGTGTAATTTGCTGTCTTGTGAATGAATGGCGTTGACCATATAGTGCTGCCATTTTAGTATGTAGTCTACTTAAAGCATTCCAGTTACATGAACATTCAGTGGATTTTCAGTTGTGACCTATCCATACAGTTTTGCTATAGTATCCTGTAACACTGAAACACTTACAGCTGTTAGCAGGGGAAAATATTCAGTGTTTTGTCAGTCAGTCAGAGAAATCCTGAAGAAGAAGCCTGTTGTGAACAGTATACTCTGTATGTATAAGGCATGTATATGAAGTCTATCTGTATATGAATATAGGAACAAAGCCAAGCATGTCTGTTTGTTATATACTGTAATGTGACGACCGCTAGCTCGGTTGAGAGGAGCTGGCCCGACCCTGTCCTATACTGGGACAACTAACTATCCAGCTATGCGCTGGCACCTATGCTGACAGTGAGGAGAACACCTTCTTTGTCTTTTTGGATTTTATTAGCCAGAACAGAGAATGCAACAACAGAACTGCGGTTTACCTGGCACCGTGTGCTCATCAGGAAAACAATGAATAAAAAGTACAGCAGGACAAACAGTAACACACTCTCTCCAGGTAACCCGAGTTCCGCGCCAACAGAATCTAAAACAACACGCCCACCTGTCATCCCTCTTATCTCCTCCCTCACCTGTTCCTCCCCCCATCCCACATTGGCCAGAACAGCGCGGCATTTTGCACAAAACAGCGGTAACCAATACATGAACAGCCTTCAATAACATTGTCAAACCCATTCGCACACAACAGAACACTGAACTATGACTTACAGAGTCAAGATACTATATATTACCACTGTAATGATAACTTTGCCCTTAAAGATAACTTAAGGTGGTTATAATAAGACCACCAGGCATTTTATCTCCGAGAATACTTGGGGGAGAACATCGCAGTGAGAACATCCGTGTGCCCACTGTCAGCCTCACTTTATTCTGAGAGTAAAAAAATAAAAAGGCAGTTCAGGTATCAACTATTGTGTGGACTTTTGCCAAGACCAGGGCATCAGTAAACTGTTTTGGTCTACGTTCATTATTTGTTATGATAATGTGTTAGGTTATTTAAGTAGTTTTATTAGATGCGATTATTCTTTACTGTAATTTGACATCAAAAAAGCAAATTTACCCTGAAGAAGATGTTTTTAAAAAGTGTCCAAGAGATGGCAGCAAAGCTGTTGGTTAAATGTTAGTGAAGAAGAAGTTCCGTTCACAAGCATCATGGCGCGGATTGTGCGCTGGTCCGAGTCCTTCCGCGGCTGTGGGGTTTGGAAGTAACAGCGGTTTGTTTGCGGTGCTCTAGACAATAGACGGTCACCAAGAAGCAGTTGGGAAGGGACACCTTGGCTTGGTCAAGAGTTAGATGATGGACGCCAGCCTTGCTCGGAGGGAGACGGCTCGTCCGAGAAGGGTGTCTGCTGCCGTGGAGTTTAGAGCTAACGTTAGCCTGCAAGATGGCGAGATGATGGAAATGGACGAGCTGCACCCTCCCAGAGAAACGGGCAGACTGGGTGCTACTGGTGGGAGGATGGAGAGGAGGCAATCGGTACCGCCAATAGTTCACCATAGACATATGCCGAAGGAACCTCTTAAGTTTCATATACCGAAGAAAACCCAGGAAAAGAAAGGTGGGTTGGCTAGCAGTCCCCCTGCTATAACGTCACAGTAAAATCACAGTAATATCCTACAGTATCGAAAACTTGCACGTGTTATTAACCATTTATACTTTTGCATGCTTGTTTTTGTATACTTTGAATACGTTTTTTGCCTGAATCAGTAACGTTACCCTGAAGTGATCAGTTCCCTCAACGTTCACAACCAAGTAAAATATGTCCATTGTCGGACAAGCAAAATTGAGACCTGTTACGCTACTTGCTCGCGTACAGATCATAGCATCACATATATCCACCAATGTCTATACCATGTCATAAGGGATGTGTTAATTCTGTGGTCATATGTGTAGCTGTTTTATTTATTACATTGCTCTAAATAAACGTTTGTGCAAGTTCTAATGCGTTTAAGGTGACGTTAGAAGCTAACACAAATCAGTGATGCTAGCTAGCAGTTAGCCAACGGTCGTTCACTAGCAAGCCCAAGCAAACGATGTCAGATTTCACCTTCTAGCCAATTATAGTTTTGTTTCCAAGTAAATGTGAATCTTCGTGTAAATTATTCCTCTTTTTTGTGTAAAGATACTGAGTGTCTGCTAACACGAGGTAACCGATTCATCTGTTTACATTTGAGTTAGTTTGGGTGCATGTCCGATTCTGACTGTTGTCTTGTTTATGGGTGATAACTGTGACAGAATGACGCATAGGAAAGGTAAAAACGTACCAAAATAACATTTTTGTGAACCACATCAGTTTACGGAAGTTCAGGTTTCGTGTAAAGGTGTTAAATCAACTGCACATAGACGGTATCGGGAAGGGGAGCAGTCCTTGACACCGAGTTTACACATGAACATCAGAGTGTTTTAGATTTTTCAGTTTGGCTTTAAAGCTTCTGAGAGTAGTGCAACTTTTCATGTAGTCTGTTGGGACATTTAAATGATTTGTGGCTTTCACAGAAAACTCTGACTACCCACCTGCAGTATGATGAAAGGCTACAGTGAAATCTGTTATTGAAGACATTCTCAAAAGTAAACAGTCTTGTAATGGATTACCAGCCACACCATTTAAAATTTAGTACACAAGACAGATTTCAATATAATCTAAAAATTATCAAAGATAAGGACGACACAATTCTTCAGAAACCAGTGGTGATGATACTGAATAGGCTTTTAAACAGTCTTTTCATGCTTGATGAGAAATTTAACATCAGGGTATTGTACACCCTGGTGCTAACTTTCTCCATTGTTTTGGAAAAGAACGTACCTCTTGTCTACATTCAAACTAAGATACGGTTGATCGAGCCACTGCTGTTCCTTTTACTGTTATTACTTTAATCTGAATTCACTGAGTTCATTTACTGACTTGATCCTGTGGGATGAAATTCACAAGAAAGCATTGACATTTGCTTTGCGCCTATTGCAACAAGATATGGTTCTTCCATTTCTGTGTGGAAACGTAATGTGAATTTTTATGTGGTTGCATTGCAGAAACATTTTAGTATTTCAAAATACAGCTTGATTATTATGAATTATGTTTAGAAAAGTGCGTACACCTGCCCAAAACAAACTTCTTTGCATTAGGTGTGTAGGCCAAGGAGTAATCCTCATAGAGAAAGAGGATCAGAGCCTGCAGGCTGATCTAATGCTCCACAATATAATTTTTATTTAGGCCAAAATACCCCACCAACCACTTTTCACAGATTAAGACTTATGAATTACATGAAATAATTTGGTGCAGTCAGAACATGCACAGCACTTCTGCTGTACAACAAAGCTACACTGTTGGGTGTGTTCACACAAACTGAAGCCAACGAATCCCTGGTTCTTAAAAAAGAGGGAACCAGCTCTTTGTACCACTATTTTCCCAAATACATTAAAATCTTACATTAAACGTTAAATGTCTGAGCTTTTAATTATATTAAATATTTGTGTAAAAATTGTGTGTACTTTATCTACAGCTGAGTCAGCTGGTCCCAGCTCACTTTTTAGTTTTTCATCTTGGACTGTGTGCTGTTTGTGCCTCTAATATAAATTTTTCTTTATTATTATTGGTTGCGTTTATTGCCCTTGAACTGCTGTCATGTTACACTGTGGTCCGTAAGAAACAATTTGTTTGCTGTATGTTGAGCATACATGGAAATGACAATAAAGCTGAACATAGAAAGCTCTCCACATATTTGATGTGCATATTTATGTGCAGTTTTAAATGTTTATGCTTGATAATTTTCAGATTGTGACAATGAATGATCTTTTGTTACATTTGTATAATCAGTGGATGTGTTTCCATGTCTCGCTCCGCTGTCGGATGCTGCAGCCAAGCCCTCTTCCCTGTACTGAGGGAGGCATCTGCTGCAGGTTCTGTAGTCTCCTGAGTATTTGGCACCAAAAGGCTGCATATGTCCTGTTATAATTAAGATGGGCTAACAGCTATTTTTCTGGGTTTTAAGCCTCCTGTTTGGCTTTGGGTGAGGCTCAGCTGAAAGGTGGTGAAAGCTGCATAAAGGATCGACAACACTGGGGCATTTATTACATCTTTCTTTCTGATACATATGAAATCCAGTAAATAAGTACAGAAATTAAATATTGTAGTTAAGATCAAGTTAATGTTTTAATTTGTCTGAAGGCTACTGTGAACAAATTTAGAAGACTAGTCTTATTGGCAAGGACAGTTTGTTCCAACTTTGTTAACTTTATGTAGACAGAGATGTTGTAACAACGTTTTTGTCTGGTGTGATGTACTTAGATCAGATGTTTCCTGGGTTAGGCCCCTTAGTTCAAATTCAAGAAAATCCTAATAGTACAGTAAATGCATACTGACCTTTATGTCTGTTCTGACTTTCTTTCAGCTCTGTTCCAGCATGTCTCCACTGAGTCCAGGGAGTATGAAGACATGGTGACCATCCTGACCTCCAGCTACATCGACGCCAACTCTACCGGCTGCTTCACATACTGCAAACCTTGCCTCATCCACAGTGAGCTGCTGGAGAAAGAGGTGATTGATGGGCAGGAGAGGATCACTGCCATTTAAATACAGATGAAAGGAAGAACTGGCATAAAGTGACCATCACAGACTTGTTAGTGCTGTGTCTCCAGTGCAGCTTCAATTTTCCTCTGTTGGAGGAAGAAAATATCACTCTTCTAAAACATCTTCCCTCATTGTGTTCAACACATTTTGTCATCCTCATTAAGCCATTCACTAACCTAGAGCTGCAACCATTAGTCAGCTCACTGAGAGTAAATTAACCTGCAAGTATTTTGAAGCAACAATTACCAACTTTTTGAACAAAACAAGACATTTTGAACAAAACAAGACATTTGAAGACGCCACCTTTGACTCTCGAAAGTCAAAATGGGATTTTTCCTAAATCAATCAAGAAAATAATGTGCAGATTAATCAGTGATCCCTGCATTTTATATTTCTACTCATGTATTCAGGATTTTCCTTTAGGTATTCGCCCATGTCTGTGTTGCTTTTATGTGATAAATATTGGTGCATCATTCTGAGATTTATAAATGTAGAGGGATTGACTGTGTGTGTGTGTATGTGTTTCAGTTTGTGGAGAAGAGGAGAGAGATGAAGGTGGATGGAAGGACAGAGAAGGAGATGGAG